GACATCTTCCTCTGCAGCCTCTGTATCTGACTGGCACTTTTGACGCGCGGACAGACCCTGACCTGACCTCCCCCTATCTGAATACAGCAGGGACCTGCGCGTGTCTGCGTCTGACTGGATTTTGCATGGTGTGCGGATTTGTTTTCGGTTTTTTATCGGATTGTTTTTCGTTTTTCGTCCGGGTCAGTAACATGTCGTATTTTACAGCATTTTCTCGTGAAATTGACGCATTTTACACTAGCCCGTCAACATCCCCAGCATCGTGTTCAAAATCCCCCGCATGTCCGGCCAACATCCCTAGCATCACCAACAAATCGCGGGTAACAAAATTGAAAAAGTAGCTGGCGGGTCGGGGTCAAAAATGATGATTCAAATAGGAGGGCATTTCAGTCCCTGTAAAAAGTCACTAAAAAGTAGGGGGGGGCTGCCGCCCCCACCATGATGTTTGCAGAAGTGATGATTCGAAACGGGGTGCAATTCAATCTCTGCAAAAAGTCTAAAAAGTGGGGAGGGGGGGGGTTGGAGGGGTGGTTGGGGGGGGGGGGGGGTTGGGGGGGGTTGGGGGGGGGGGGGGTGGGGGGGGGGGGGCGGCAGGGAAAATCTAAAACGTAGCGGGGGACACATGATGCCGGAAGAAGTGATGATTCAAGTAGGGGTGCAATGATTCAAGAAAGGGCGCGACAGAATTTACAAGGCAGAGGGAGGGTTGGCGGGGGTGGTTTTTTGTATGATTACCTAAAACATCGTATTTTGCAGCATTTTCTCGCGAAATTGGACGCTCAAAAAAGTGATGATTCAAATAGGGGTGCAATTCAATCTCTGGGGGCGGCAGCCCCCCCATGATGTTTGAAGAAGCGTTGGTTCAAATAGGGGTGCAATTACTCTGCAAACACTCTAAACAGTAGCGGGTGGGTTTGGGGGGAGGCTTCCCCCCCATGATGTTCGAAGAAGTGATGATTCAAATAGGGCGGAACTGGTGATGCTGATGATGCGGCCAAATCCAAAGACCACTAAAAGGGTGCAAAAGCCAAAATGCCCAGAGGAACTGTGAAAGCAGAGGATGCAAAAAAACAAAGCCGCCAAAAGCTGCATAAACGCAAAAGCCAAAACGCCACCTGCCGAAGAGGAACTGGGAATGCAGAGGATGCGAAAAGCCAAAGCCAAAAAGCCACCCAAAGCTGCATAAACCAACGAAAAGCCGAAAAGCCCAGAAGCCGAGAAGCCAAAAAGCCAAGAAGCCAAGAAGCCGAAAAGCCAAGAAGCCAAGAAGCCAAAAAGCCAAGAAGCCAAGAAGCCAAAAGCGGAAAAAGAAGAAGAAAAACAACGAAAATAAATTCCCTCCTTTTGCATGGCCCCGCACAAACACTCAGACCCGGACCTCTTCTCACAGACACTCACCAGACAAACACCCAGACCGAAACCACCCCACCTGGACATGCGCGAATCTGTATCTGGCGCTCTGGCGTGGCCCGACGCAGACACCCAGACCTGGCCGGACCTGTGTGTATCTGTGTCTGAATGGCTCTGGCATCATCCGCCCGGCTCTGGCGCATCTGTATCTGACTGGCCTTGGCATCTGTCATCTGTATCTGGCTTTCCTGGAGCTGATGCCTTCCAGGCGGATGTTCAAGAAACCTTGCCACCACCCCTCTGACGTGGCCGGAAAAAAAAAGAAAAACAAAAAACAATTCCAGACATGACAAGTTCCCATGAAAGCCAGCGGGGGAACATACACTACTAGGTCATCCTGTAGAGAGGTTTGTAGGGGAACCCTCCCCCAAAAAAGGGTAAAAGGGCACTGGCGGACCTAGACTATATTCTTGAGCAAATGGAAGCTCAAAACAGCAGCGGCATGTAGCATCGGCCTCCTGCCAGGCACCCGCAGTCTCACATGCGCTGATGGCCTCGCTGCGTTTCAGGATGGACCCCCGCAAAAGGGGGCCCTCAAAAACAGACGCGCCCGTGAATGACCGTAAATTTCCCCGGACCCTTTGGTGGGCATCAGAATTCGGTGGGGATTCATGCTCAACCACTTTTGAGGTGAAACCCCTAGTGAAAAAACACATAGCCACTTGTCTAAAATGACCTCGAACTTGCAACCGACCAAAGTTGGACCTAGGCGCGACCTGAACAAGTTTACCCCTAGGAGGAGAACCTTGTGAAATCGATTCCCTTTAGCAGAATGACCACATGAAATTGGCGTCCAAAAGACACCAAATGTAGAATAGCAAATTACCCTAGAAACAAAACAAAGACTGGACCAGCACTAGAACACCAAACAGGTAAACAGGTTGATTCGCCTTCGGCAATTGAGGGTGCGTTTCGCTGTAGGTCCAGAAAATGAACTCACGTATCCTGATCACACAGACATGCGCAGCTTCATGCTTAGGCTTTCGAGCAACGCTCACCAAGCTTTGGAATGATTGCATATCTGTATGCGTACACCAAACACATTCCACAGTAAATCTGAACGGGTGCTTGGAGCATCGAGGCATGCCATTGACAACATTCTACGACACGAGGGAAGTCCGGTCCACCGCAACCGGGGCACGTGTGAGCTGGCTCCCCTACTACATGTCATGGTTCTCTTAGCACTAGTAGCATGTCTAAATTCCATATCCCCGAGTCGTTGCGACACTGCCTAAGTTATCAGGTCTTTCCGCCATCGCGCGTGACATACCTTTCACCCCAAAGCCAGGCTGCGGCGTTGAACACGATGACGTCCAGCTGTGCCAGAGATCGCTCTGCTTCGCCTGGGCGATGCTTTGCCGCGGGAAAGGGGGCAGGCACAAGGGTTTGCACGGTTTTTTCCATGCGCAAACCCACTTTGCGAGCCCTTGTGTAAAACATCTACTAAACCCGTGGGTTCTGAGCAATCTGCTCATGTTCACTGAAGAAATTAAATCGCGCGGAAGCACTGGCAAAACGGACCAAAACAAAGGCCCAGAATGGAGTCGCCCAAAACGAATGGCCAGCGCCTGCTTTTGAGCGGTTGCAAGCATTTGAGCAGATTCCTTTTGTCAACCGCATGCCTCATTTCGCGCCCTCTCCAGGTTCCTTTTGCGGGGTCCGGACCGAAACAAGATCTTGTCATCCTTTGTCTCTACGAGAATTCTCACCATCCTCCCTCCAGCAATCGTTGGTTGGAAGGGAGTCCTTTCTGCAGTGACATCCTTTGCCTTGTCCAAGATAGAAGCTGGCAAGACTCCAGCAGGTTGTTGATCTTCCTGGTTTTGCAATATTTTCGGATAGAGCAAATGGAACTGAAAGGGGATGGACTAGGCAGCGTTACTACCTTGACCCACATCTGGGGTACGCAGAAAATATGCTCACTTTTCTGAGTCTACTTCATATTCAGTCCAGCCTAAAAATCAATACATTGTTTTCGGAGAAGCCCCGCCCCCCCCCCCCCCCCCCGAAATTATGAGGTTGTTAAGAAACTGTTGACGCCCTTTGCCTTTTTGAAGGTGTCCCTCAAAGAAGACAAACCCACATGCCCATGGGTCAAAATCAGGTACCCCCAGTGAACATCCCAATCCCAACTAAAATTACCCCAAAATGGGATCCCACTGGTTTTGACCCACAGCCACATGGAACGAAGGCATCACACCACTGGCCTGCGGCTGAGGCGCTCAAGAGCTGCATGGCCCGTACCAGCTGCCCGCGGCAGGCGCTGATGCCGGCCCCGAAGACCACCGAGTTGGGCGCCGCGGGCGCGCCTGGAGGCTGGAGAGCCAAAAGGCGGCAGAGCTAAATGGGTGTGGCTCAAAATTAAAGAGCCCGGGTTACGCGGCTTTTGGTCTTTGGGTCCATTTGCCAAGGTGCCATTTTGGTACATGTTTTTGAGCCACAGCCAAATGGGTGTGTCTTAAACTGGGGAAGCCCTATCTAGGATGGGTCTCCTGTTGTTTTGTTTTCTCTAGCCCAACAAAAACAGGGTACCTCAAATAAGGACACACCCACATGGGTGAGGGGTGACGGGGTGGGCGGGGAGTTGGGGGGGGGTTGGGAGTTGGTTCCTTTAGGTTGAGCGCCCCAGGGAGGGGTGTGTGTGTGTGAGGGGGGCGGGGTTGGCTTTTCATACCACTGCACTTTAGACTAATGTTTGTTTCTTGTTTTTCGTATCCCGTTCTCACATACGACGGCAAAATGATCATCATTTGGCAGGTGCAACAAGTCCAAGGGCGCAGAACCGTAGTCAAAGCATCCCTTTGAAGTGCTCCTTGCTTCTTGATGAGGGACGGAATCAACAAATCCGGCCTGCTCCGGAAGACTCTCAATGAGCACATTACTGCTTTTGTTGTTCCAAAAGGGTTCCCTGCTTTTGTTTTCCTCCATCCCCGCTTGCTTTTGCGAAGATGTGCTTGCTTCTTTACCCATCCTCTCCTGGGGTCCTTTTGGAAAAACGTACACATCGGTCCGTGGCACCCAGATTTGTCCTTGCTCCAAGGTGGGAATGCATGTCCCCTGCCTTTGGGGCACCCTCCCAAACATGGAAGCCTTTCCAAAACGATCCAAGTCCTTCCAAGGAGGCCAGGGCTGCACCAAACCATTGGTGGGAGCGTACCCCCCAGGCATAGGAACCAAATTGGGTTCACCATTGACCTCCCAAAGCCTGGTCTCCATATAATTACCCTTGCTCCCGATGCATCGCGGAATCAGCAAGTGATCCCACAGCAAATCGCTCTCCCGTCACCAGACATTACAACCTCGTCTGAGAAATTGACCTATGGGTAAATGGAAACTGCTTGACTTGCGACACAAGCAAGTATCATCCCCCTGGCCAAATGGGAGCAGCGCTTCTAAATCCCCCATGAGTCATTTTAGGCGGTTCGGTTTCCACCTGTCTTCACGGGGAAATATAGCAAGGCCTCTTTAAACCTTCATGTTCAACCAAGCGGATAGAATGGGGGGCGCAGGAGCACAGTCAAACAGATCTCTGCACCATTTTCTGGCCAGGGGACCGCCGCCTTTCCTTCCGCATGGTTTATTTCTATGTTTCTTTTGGGGTCGCCTTGCAAAATTCGCATTTTCCCATGCCAGGCTTCCGCTTTCGCACCCACCCGCATCGCTTTCTTCGGTCGCCCCGCGCGCCTGTCAGCAGCTGCAGCGCCCAGGTCCAGCACCGCACGGTCTCGCAGGCCGTCACCGCGCAGCCCAGGGACCGCACCGTGGGCGTCGCCAGCTCCTCGCGCATGGGAGTCGACGGGGGGCGGGGGTGTTTAAAGGGGGAAACGCGGGGAAACCAGGAGGAAAAACGGAGCAGGGTTGGCTTGAAGGTTTGGGGTAAGAGGTGGGTACCAACTTGTGAAGGTTGGTTGGGGAAACCAACAGGAACATGGAGGCCAGTTTGAGGGGCTGAATCCCATTTTGACACACGCTCTTGACATGCTGTTGACTCCGGATCTAAGTAGAACTTGGTTGATTTGATCGGGAGTGTCCCATTCTAGGCGTTCAGAACACCCTCCTAGTAGAACGGGTTTATGGTCAAGATTATGTGCATAATTACCCAACACTTGGCCCACATTTGGATGGTAAGGGAAACCAAAAGGAAACCGCCAATCTAAATAGCTCCCCAATTTCGAGAAACTCTCATAGGAGAGGTTGTCTCAAAGTTTCTCGGGGCTTTCTCTAAAAAAATGCGTTTCAAGGATACCCTCGAAAGCGACGCCCCCATCCGTGGTACACTGAAATTCACACATTGTGTAGTTATCTTCCATACTTCTGCCCTAACATTTTTTGGGAAGACTGTGGGTGGACAAAATCCACTCCGCACTAGTTGATGGCTTCTCCCAGTATCCGTCCCACTGGTGCAGGGTTTTTGCCCACCGACAATATTCAATTGCCAACAAAAACAGTACGGGCCCTCCCAAATTCGGCTGACTTAACATTCCCTCCCGCGTTGCGTCTCAAAACAGTGTGCCCCATAAGATACTTTCCAACAATAACTTGATCACAAAAGGATGCCCCAATTGGCACATGTGATGTGTAACACGGTCAGCATGCATCGAGACTTACCAGACAATACCTGAACTCGCATCCTCTAAAACAATCAGAAAACTCTTGCATGGCTTCCTATGCGAACAACGGTCAAAATTGTCCCAGTGGACATGGGAAGATTAGAGGGCCCCGGGTTTTGCGGGAAAAAGAGCTTTATGGAAAGCTGGCTCCCAAGAAGTGTCTGCCACCCTCAAACCATTTGCAGGGGTTCAACCACACAACCTCCATACAAACGGTAAACCTCATTAACCCCCTGGCAGTGGAGACCATTCTAGATTCTAGACTGATTGACGGCTCACCCAGACCTCCTGTGGATTTCCAGGGAGCAATCACGGCACCTGTTTGTAGGTTGGTTTTGCAGGACCCTCTACGGTTCTTTATACCCCCCCTCCTGCAAGCATGACCCAAGCAGGACTCAGTCAGACTCCAATCAGGTGAAGTTCTTCGGTGGGAGGGAACTTGGCAGAGCGTGAAGGGGGCTACATGGTTGCAAGGGTGGCGGGATCTTTGAAGATCTATTCCTGTTTGCCTATACAAGCTTTTTAAAGGGATCCGACTGCGGAAAAATACCCAAAGCCAAATTAGATACAGCAGCAGGCATTGGTTGGATGCAACGCCAAGATGTGGTCACTTGCCCCCACCAAATAATCCCAAGTGGGCTTTGCCTTACAGGTTGTCTTGCCGAGGGGTGAGACCAAATCAAACCCAAAAAAGTCGTTGCCAATTCCCAAAAGGCTGGCTCAATGAGAAAATCTAACACAAGCTGTGTCCGCTGCCGCATAGTTGAATGTGCCATTGTCAAAGCTCCTACCATGTCAGTGGCTCCCTCAAATAGGAAATTTTACAGTGGTTGTCTAAAACTCCAGTGAACAGGTTGATGACGATCCCTACTAACCCCAGGGACAGTAGTCTTTTGACCATGGCACAAAGATCCCACGGCTGTGAAAGCCTTTGGAAAGCTCGGCCCCTCCAAGCAATAGGCTGGCACTGCCAGCGTCAGCGAAGCGTCAACGACGGTTGAGCATTTACTTCGGGGCTCACGAAATGACTCAAATATGGATCACACCTTTGGCCGTGTCCATTTTGGGTTCCACACTAGAATTTGCTCGGGAGTAGGCCATCTAAGTTCGAATCTATGGCTCTACATGACGCTTCTCTCCCTCCCTCACCCGCGATGCCTGAAGCGCAAAGAGCGCGTGCTGCCATCGCCCTGCTTTGCCAGCCGCGTTCACAGCAGTGTTCACGGAGATGTTGCTTGGCTGCCTCGGCAAACACATCACTCGGCCTCATAAACTCACCTAACGATCGTGAAGTGAAATGTTGCTAAGACCGTCTGCATTCGAACAATGATTGCATTTCCAGGCGCCATGGCTTTTTGGCAATGCGTGACATGAAGCGATGAGAAGGAAGAATGTTTTCAGCCCACGTCACTCGGGCAAACATGGCACTCGAGCTAAACTTGTTGGAAGGCCGAAAGCTGGACCTGAACAGAACTCCAGAAGGTCCAAGTACCCTTCGAGGGAGGGGTAAAGAAGGTACTTGGAGCCCCAGGGCAATATAAGCAAACAAACAAACCAAACCAAAGTATGGCCTAGTTGCAAAGTGTCCTGCTGCGATTGAGACAGCCAGCTCAGCGTGCACATCCAGTCGCACAGGGCCATAGTGGCGTTGTAGCTGATGATGTTGCGGGGTCCTTCAGCACTGCACGCCCTAGACAACCCACTGCCCACCCCCCCGAAAAAGAAACAAACACGAAAACATACCTCTAGACTCCAGTGGAAATCCAGTGGAATCGCCCCCCTTTTTGGTATTTGAGCAGTGTTCTAAACCCAGTTGCGGCCGAAGAGAAATATCAGGTTTTTTTTTTTTTTCCGCGAAGCCTTCCGCGGAGCTTGCGCGGCGCTTCCGCGACCTGGGAAAAGTGAACATTTTGAAAACGACATTTCCTCCCGAATGCGACTTTCAAATGCAGGGGTTTTAGAACGTCGCTCATTTGTTGTCCGAGTTGCTCTTCCCCTTGAGCAGAAGGTGGCTCACCTTTTGTAGTTGAGTTGTTTCCAAAAAAGTATTTCCGGGTTTTTGGGGGTCACACCACCGACCGGCCATGATGCTTCATGGGTTTCCCCTTGCGCCAGAAAACGTCTGGAAACACGGCCAACCGTGCTCCGCTCTGACAGCCAAACCCCAGTCCTCTTCGCAGCAAAGCTACGGCTCTTTGCCAGGCCCCGCACGCCTATCCCGCGATACGGAGAACGCAATTTGTGCCCTGCACACGTACGGGCCCTGCAACTTTAGCTATGGCGATTCCGTAGCTGGGGTATTGTTGAGTTTGAGCTTACAATTTTTCCCGCGCCTTATTGCGAAACCGAGTTGGTGCAGGCGTTTGGGGGCTGATATGTGCTGATAACATGGCGGCCCTAACGCCGTCGGGCAGCTCAATTCCGTTCCAGCTCTTTCCGAGATTTGTCTCTCCTGCAGAAACCTACCATCTCTGTCACCATGCTTCAGTCCTAGATAGGTCCTGGTCTTTTCCGGTGTACCCCCCCGCACTAGACGACTAAAACTTTCAGTCTTGTCTGCGCGTCCTGTGCCTTGGCCGGTTTGCAGGTGTTGGCCTCAAGTTGCTCCCCCCGAAGTTGGCCCGACCCGGACCTCTGCGTATCTCCACACCGACACCCAGACCCGGTCCTGTGTATCTGGCCCACACGACACCCATCCGGCTGTGTTTGATATTATGTTGGATTTCTCCAGTTGTTTTACTTTGGGCAGGGCTGATCGAGTGGACTTGCTTTTTATCGAAGGAACTTCCTACTTGCAACTCCACTTTAGAATGGAATCTAGGGTTGTTCTTGAACACATGTGCTTAAATGCTGACTGAGTTGTAAATCAACCTATATTGGAAAGGACATCCTGTGTAAATACTCATTTGACATAGAATAATTATTTTCTAATTTCTAATTTAGAATAGACATTTTGAGTGGAATCTTTTCTTATACAAATTTTACTTAAACTCTCATTGGATTGTCAAGTTGTGTTTGGCAAGGCATTCTGTCTAATTTTTTTATTTTGAGATAGAATTTCCAAGAGCATTCGGAACAAGTATGTCCTTATTGAGTCTTCCTTTTTAAGCATTTTCAACATCTATATAATTAAATTGGTGGAGATGTGACGCTAGAACGAAAGCGCTCCAACACACTGTGTTGTACGGTGGTTCCTTACCATGGTAGTGCTGGGGACTAGGTAGAACTCTGAAGACTTCTGTGAAATTTGGCTTAATATCGTATAACAACCTACTCAATTTCAAATAAATTGAGCAGAATCCAATAAGGATAGAATCCAACTTCAATTTATTATTTAAGACTCTAAAATAGACTTTCGACAAGAATTTGCTTATTTCAAGATAAAGTGTACGCAGCTTCCTTGCAATAGAAATAGTTTCACAATCAGTCAACATTTAAACACAAGTGAATCAGAAAGAGTTCGCTTTGCGCAAAGTCAGTGCAAACAACAAATACAGACTTGCACGCACAAGCGAATCAAAATATAGCAACAAGTGCACTCCTACAGTCCCCAACCCTCAAGAATGAGAGGCTATTCCAGAAATAACTAGCTGATAAAACACACATAACGTGCAAGTTGTAAGGGAGAAAGCTACGGTCCAATGGAAAGGTTCGGTAGGAACAGGCGTTCTGATTGAAGCTTTCTGTTGGCTAGGGGCCTCATGTTTTCAACTTAGTGGATTTCCATGAAAGGCCACGCTTTTCTGTTGGTTAATTCTAACGGGAAGCCCTTCCGAAAGGAAAACAGGAATCGCACTGTGTATCTGGAACTTCTCCGTAGTTTACGCGTCCAAACATGTGTCAAAATGGAGGTCCCCTCAACATAGATCTTGGTTTGCCTGTTGGGTTCCCTCTAAAACCGCCCCAAAAAGTCGCCCTGAATCCTAACCGCCAATCTAAACCATCAATTACAAGCAGCCTGAGAAAAGACACCCTCAAGACAACGCACGTCCTTCCCAAAAATGCGAAACCGCCGAGCTGCGCTGATGGCGGAGTTGCAGGAGACCACGCCTGCGCGCCTCGAAAGCGAGCCCAGTCTGACCAAGGGATGTGAGAGTCCGGCCCAGCAGCTGGATATGGGCGTTTTTGATGGCGTGGCTCCCATGGAAGCCATAATACTGTGGATGAACGAAATCCTGCACCACTTGGAAACCATGGGAAACCATTGTTTGTTGGTATTTTCAGGGGAATCATACTTCCAGCGTTTGTTAGGTGGTGCAGGATTTCGTCCATCCACAGTATTGGACTTCACCAACTCGACAAGTTCTACCCAGGTGGCCGAACTTTGCCCAGATTGCTAGCTTCAAACATGGAGGCTTACGTCGTTAGGTGGGGCAGAAGCTGGTCAACACCAGTCAACGTCAGCCAACAAACTTCGGTAATTCTCTACAACGCTGAGAAGTGGGCTTGGTCACACCCGCAAGTAAGCGTAAGTCCGACTTGCCCAAGTGTCAGGGTATGTACAAAACATCAGTAAACGCCTGATTGTCATCTTGGGTAAGAGGGAGGGTCGAATGCATCCAAGGGCAGTGGATCGCTTGCTGCGTTTTGTGAACCATATATTTAAAAAAATGCCACAATGCTGTCACCAAAAGTTTCAATGTTACGCTTCTGTGACTTTTGACCAAGCAAAGCATAACCTAACACAGCTGCTACATGACCCACCAACAAAATGACGTGTTTCCCCGAGAGAACATGAACATATTGGGAAGCGCGGGTTGTCCCCCGCATGTCCACTCCTGGACGCTCCATGACGGGGGTGTCTTCCCCCCTTAGCAAAGCGCCGAGCACCTTTTGCGAGCTTCATGGAAAAACCATGTGTGTCCAAACAGTCTAATGGGCGAACGTCACACCAAAGAATGACCCTCAAAAAAATATAGGGGGGGGGGGTGATTTCTAAAAAGGAACGGACAACCCAAATATGGGGAATGCAGTATTGACCCTTTTTCCGGGGCCGCAAAGCGGCTCCGGGCAGTTGGCCCCTGGACCACAAAGATCATATTCCCCCTTTAACCAAAACAACACAACTGGTGAGTTTGGTCAAAAAGGGACATTCCATTTATCTGGCTATGGGTCAAAACCCCATACCCCCAGTGAACATCCCAATCCCCACTAAAATAGACTAAAATGGGTGGTGCACCTACCGCAAAATGGTACCATTGGTGTTGATCGACGGCCAATCCGAAGAAGTATAGCCCATGTCCCAAGGCTCAATCGGCTCTGGTCCAGGTGAGCCAGCAAATCCAGAGCTTCCCGCCATGGCGAACGGCGGATGGCCTGGTTGTAGCGCACTTCGTCCACCTGGCCACCGTGGCCGCGTGGCCGGGTGGCCGGTTGGCTCCGTTGGGGTTGTACACACGTAGCCCTATGAGTGGGTCGTTTTTTGAGGGTCCCTCTTTTCGTGGTTCTAAAGGAAAGCCAAAAGGAACACAACCCGTTTTGGGGTTCCCTGGTTTGAGACAAACCCATAGTTCCCAAAAAAAGATCACCTCACCAAGAGGAACATCTCCGTTAATTGGCCCCAAAGGTGACCACTAAAAGGAGAAATATTGGGAACCCTGCGTTAAACCGGGAGCCTGCAAAAGTGAAGAAACACCTGTCATCTCTTTTGGCTCCCTTTCGGGAATCTAACAACTATTGGTCGTTAGCACCTCGCGGGACAAGGGAAACACATCTGGTGAGTGCCATCGAAATCAAGATGCTCACCCTTCTGGACATCAGTGCAAAGGCCTTTGACAGGAATCATGGCACTTGGTTGCGGGGGGCAAAAAACAACATCTGTTGAGGTCAGGAGAATGTAATTCATGACCAATCTTACAACTGGAACTCAAGGCTTGTTGCAGCAAATGCATCAAGCAGAACACCAGTCAGAATCTTGAGAAATGTGAACTTTGGATCAACCACCCAACCTGTATTCCAAGCAAACCAACCACATAATCTGACAGTTTTCAGTTTCCGGGGTTTCCCTTTCTATTTAAAACCCAGTAAGCCACTTGGGTCTCAGCTCCCATCTTGATACTTTCAGACTCACTCGTGGCTTCGGTTCCATTCTCCCGATCTGGACCGCCATGGGTCAGCTCAGTTTACCAGGCAAAGCCATCACGGATCCTCACCCTGCTCTGCTTTCAGACCTTCCTTTTAAAAAAGTGGCGTTGAAAGTAACACACATGTCTGATTGTTCGCATAGCTGGTACATCACCTGGGTATTTCATTTTGGTTCTGCGCGTTTGAGTGACAACATCTTAGCTGGGCTATGTTTGTTGAAGTCTAAAACCCACGAACCTGTGTTGATGGTTCAAGTCAAGGTCTGTGAAAAGGCTCTATCCGAAACAGTGACCGTACCTCCAGGTTGTTTCTGATGCCCACTGGTGGAATCCCCCCTTCAGAGCGCAATGAGCTGGAATCCTCAGTCGAGGCATCCAACATGTTGTCTAGAGTGCCAAACAGTGAAGTCCAATATCTGAACCCCGCTTGCAACAAACACACAACCAAGCAAGTTACACATGCCATACTATACTATGGCTGACTTGGAAGCAGGTGGATTTGTAAACGAGACAAGCTTTTTCCCAAACATCCACCCACACACACACAAACACAAGAGTTTATTGGTTTTGGGGACAAACAATACACACACACACAAAAAAAAACAAGACTAATTTGCACTTAGCTTGAAATAAATATAGCGCTTGGTTTTGCACATCTTATGCTTGCTCACCGATTCCCCCGTCAGAGGTGACTTCAAATATCGAACGCACCCGGACTCCAACGCCTTTCTTCCAGCTGGTTCATTTGAAAACTAACAAGTCCCAACAAAGCAGACACATGCAGACACAAGGAATCGCCCCACTAAGTCACTAGGTGTCTGGGTAAACCATTCGCACATGCACACGAAATGTCCCGCCTGCGTCGGTTTGCACGCTGCACTTGCCATAGGCGCAGGTTGGGCTAGGCTTAGAGGCTCATGGCAGCGTTGCCCCAGGCAAAGACTTGAACGCAGGGTGGATTTGCCCAAACGAGCTGTCCCTGGGTTTAAGTCTAGCTATTGAAGGGAAATTCTCAACACCCGCTCAATGAAGCCCGCCGTTGTTGCCAGCCAATGGCCAGACAATACTGCTCAAGCAGCCGCATGGTTTGACAAAGGCGAAAGCCCATGAATCGGTGCTGGTCCGCACCAGGCCCCCTTCAAACAACTGCAAACGCTTATATCCAGTTCAACGAAAACCGGCCCGTATCTTGACCGCACGCACGCCAAAAACGCTCGCATGCAAGCGCGCACACCACACGCAAATACATGCACATACCCCACAAACCTGGAGTGCAGGGCATGTTGCTCAAAATAGAGAAACGCCAAAATGGGGCTGTGCCCTTTTGGTTTCTATTTAAACCCACCAAAAAGGGGTCCGCCGCGATTTTAATAACCTGCAGAAAAGAAACAGTTGTTCTCTGACAAAACCAGCCTAGAGACATAAATTTGTGCATGTGAGGCGTGAAAGACTCTCCGACCTGCTTCCAGCCGACTTGATCTGGTTCAGTTGATCTAGATTCTTTGTGCTGATCAGTTGATTTTGGCTACTTGTTGGCTTTGTGTTGGTTGACTTGGTTGGCGAGGTAACCCAGCAAGTAACTAAAAGCCCAACCTTCCCGAAACCCAACCTGAGCTTCCCTTTTACCACTGAAATGATCCTTCCAAGCCACTCCTAAATTTGCCAGCCCCACAACAACTCCCATTTCAACTACTGTGGATGGTTGCGAAGTCCATTTCGCGCCACGAAACGAAACCATGGTTGAAAGCATAACGTTTGCTACGGTATTTGCCGGGTTTCATATCATTCCAGGGATTCTGAACGGTGGTGCGATTTGGATTTCGCAACCATCCACAGTCCAACATCCGCCGAATCTGTGGAGAGGCCTTCCCTCGAGCGAGTCACTCGCGAGTCACTCCTCCCGCACTTGCCGCTTGGCCAGCGCCCAGGCGGTGCTCGCGGTGTCATAGGGAGTGAACCTCTGGACGCCTGACGCCAACCCATCCGGCCCACTTTTCTGGGGAATCCTTGGCTGTTGGCCCAAAATTCGAGAAGATGTCGGGTTAGATCAAGCAACTGATGGGTAGATCACACTTGTTACCTAGCCAGATCGGGGAGAGAGAGTCAAAAGGTAGAGGACTCCCCCTAGTAAATAAACATTTGTCAACCTGCGAACGTTGTTGGCATTCATACTAGCATCGGTTCAAGCAAGTCTCATTGTAGGTCTCATAGTAGGCGTACGTCAGAGCAATGTGCAAATGCTATTTTCGCTGTTGATTTTACTTGTTTGGGTGTGTTAAGGGATACAAAGGTTTCCAACCACCGATTTTGAAGGGTCCCTTAGTGTTGAGACCCAGCCAAAAGTGTTGCTCAGAGGCAGATACTTGCTTATGCTCTTGTTAGGGCTGCTCCGAAGACTCGATCGGCACAAGGGTGGGAAAACCATCGCCTACAGCAGTCCCCCTGACCGCTCCACCCTGGAATCCCTGTGAAGAGCTAAACCGAGGCTCTTCAAAGGTGTGGTTCTGGGGGGGAGGGTCAGGGGAACTGCTGTAAGGGCAAGAAACAACAGAAACCTTTGGACGATTCTCGACTCTGGTGGTTTGATAATCTCTTGGAGCCTCGTCAAAACCCTCCAACTCCAGGTTGGAAGGCAGCCCCCCCAAAAGAAAAAAACTAACACCAGTTTCTGAGAATCCCCGAAACTGTTCACTTGGGACCAGTCCTACATTGACAGATACCCAAATGCAAACAAGAGTGGCAAAGGCCGAGCCCGCGGGTCTCATGGCGGCATCTCGCATAAACCTGTACATCTTTTGGGGGCACTCTAACACACCCCGGCAGCCAGGAAATGCCCATGTGACAAAGGGCATCCGTTTAGTAGCGGTAGCATGCGGTAGCTGATCTTCAAGGGACACCAAACAAAAACTTGAACACAGAACATTTCCCTAAGACGTGGGCCTCGATGCGAGAAAAAAAAGGCGAAATAACAAAAC